TGTGTATGTAGGTTTATATAGATTAAGAAGTCATTTTCTTAGGAGGTAAGCTCAGTTACGGGAATTCGTGCACTTTCCATTAGTCATCGCTGGTTATCTGAGATGACTTTTTGTGTGTGTGTGTGCGGAGAGCTGAATTTGGGATAATGGATGTACAAGGAAGTTCATCTGTCATGAATTCTCTTCAGTGCGATTGTGGTTTTGCTATGGGGAGGTTGGGTAAAGAATGACTGTGCAGTTGGAGAGATGAACTAACTACAGAGCAGCACTGGTTTAAACCCCCAGCTGTGTTGCATGAATGAGTCTCTTGAGAACAGAGAGGGGCTTCAGGCGAATGAAGAAAGTTTCAAAGTTCTGACAAGTCTAGATAGATGTGAAAAAGCTCCCAGCAAACATGACAAATAGTAAAGCTCCTAAATATCTGCTACAAAGTATGAAGAAAGCAAACTTATTTGCATGGTTAATGCTGGGGTAACAAGGTTATGCAGATCAGAAATAAAGTGCGGGTGTGTTAGGTTCAGCTCTATTTTTATACCATCGTTGCTCCGTTTTATTATTTTGCAGCTAATATTTGGAGGCGCATCAGTCCTGTTGTTCTACATAGTCTTACCTCCATATTGTATGTTACAACACCAAGTTTTGGATGAAGTTCCCACACAGTTTACCATAAGCGTGGGCACGTTTAAAACCACAAGGTGCATTTGGTCCACATTTTGTGTATATATGCAGAGAGTGTGGGCAGAGGCATTCGTGCTGAATAATCATGAATTTGTCTTTTTGTTTATACATATTTGATATTGTTTGTTTTATTACACAGTGAATGCACACTCATAAATCATCAAATGAAAAGAGGGAATGAAAATATTGGACAGGGAAAGAGCAACGTGGTCTATAAGCAACATGAAGCTGCTTGCCTATACCGGCACATCTGCTTCCATTTCTGCTTGTGTTGGTTGTGATGTTATGACAGCAGAGGGACTGAGGAGTTTACACTGAGAGGACATAGAGCCCCTCTCTGTGGGATCTCTTTGGGTCAGTGGCCCCGTTTTAGGAACCCCAGAGGTTTTTCGGCAGTGTGTTTGCAGTGCAGCTGTCTTTATTCTGCTTTACATTCTCATTTTTTCTCTCTGTTTGCTTTCAGAGGAAGTTCACTGAAGATCGTTTTTTGAATGGAAGACCTCAAAGAGACTTTTAATCCTTGAAGACCCTGCAAACACCTTATCTTCATAACCCCTTCTGCACACGGCTGCCGAGGTCCTTTCCCGAGAGACGAAGGGGCAGCAGAGATTGGTGGATTTTGGATGTGACAAACACCTTTGTAAGTTCAGTTTTAGCTTTCCCTTGATTTAAATTTTTCCCTTCATTCTGGGTTAAGGAATTCCCAATCTGTAATCAGGATAATATCTTAGGATATTTCCAGCATTGTACTTGAGTGAGGGCTCCTGGACACCTGATTTCACTCCTTTGCATTTTGCTGTGTTCAATATTTAAGATTTAATAAGCAATCAAACGGTTCATGAGGTTTACCCAGAAGTACATTGATTGATTGAAAGTGGCAGCTTGATGGCACCATTAGAAACGACCAACTTCCATCAGATTGAATATAAGCATTTGATTTCCATGCTAAATTTTGAATTCAGCAGTGCAGGACAAAACAGAAGTTTGCCTTAAACGCCTTTATGATCTGTAGCGCATGCAGCATCGTCTGCCCTTAGACACGTCATTGAGAGAAGCCAAACACGTACCAGAAAAAATGGAGGTAATGGTTGCAGAAACGCAGGCGATGATGTTTTAAGCATGCAACACAAATACATCAAATTAACCATGACCAGGCTTTACACTGCGTTCCTCTGAAATGTCTGTGCACGCTGTAAACTCTTTCAGAAGCATAATTTCACACAATTTTGTGTATTTTTGATGAATGTGGGAAATAATGACATGTTTGTCTGCCATGAATTTGAGTGCATAAAGTTCATACCCTGTGAGGCTCACATTGGCCATAGTAATAAGAGAAAACCATTTGGCAGTTAAGAGCTTGATTGTATGAGACAGTGCAGGTCATGATTTCATTTTGTGTTTTTCCAAAAGCAAAATGACTCGAGGGCTTTCAGGCAAAGCGCTGCCTCACAGAAACAGGTAGACAAATAAACGTGTAAAAATCGTTTGTAA